AAATAATTGCATTCGATTTAATTGAGGTTACCATTCATATCTGATGGTTTCTTAGTTAATAATTGGTCATCGGTATCAATTTATTGGATATTTGGGTTCTTTCTATATTTTCTTAGCACTTGATAACAATATTTTTGTAAAATTGCAGATTTATAATATAATAAATCATATACAATTATTTTTTAGTGAAAGGTTAAGTATCACCTGCCTTGCCGCTTAAATTTGCTTTTTATAAATTGTTGCTATCAACATCAGCTTTGTTGCTAATTTTTTCCTCATTCAATAAGTTGAAAACAGTATCTACTCTTTCAAAAATGTTTCTAGGTACCTATTGGAAATTCGAAACGTCATCGTAGTTTCCTCAGATGTTCATCCAGGAAACCTGAACTGAAGTCTACTCTGTGTCTCGTCCAGGAACCTTGAACCTACAGGACCTAGAGCCTCGAAGTTGGACTTTGACGTTCAGGCTGTACTTCTCCAGGATTCTTTCTCAGGTGAGCATTTAATTTCTGTTATTATCTTGAGAATTTATTTCCAAGTTATTTTTCTTTCTCTCTGAGAAATAAATGCAACCTGAGGAAGGTTTCCTTCTCTCTATAGCCTGTTCAGTCAACCTTTGTCTGGTTCCTGTATAGGTTTTGCCTTCTTGTGACGAAAGCACAATCTATAGTTCAAGTTTTCTGGAAGTGAGATTTTTCTCTCTATCTTACTGTCAGTATTTTCCTTGGTCAACTCAACAAACCACATGTCAATGCATGTCTATTTCCTTATCTCCAGAGATACCATATCTTAATTCCAGACCTGTCAACTTCACACCTGGAGTATTTACCTACTATCTGGCATTCAACTTTTGAACAGGACTTGCCACCCTGTATATATATATATATACCTTTTCTTGTACTTTCACGGACAAGTAAATTACCTGTCAACTTCGAACTTGAAAAATTACCTATTATCTGGCATTTTACTTTTGAATCAGGACTTGCCACCCTGTATATAAATATACAAATTTTTACTTTTACTAGAAAGTAGTTTATTGGCATTTTAGTTGAAGGATTTGCCACCTTCATTTAATATTCATAATCAGTAATTTCTTTGATTGCTTTTTCCATTTCCGTTTCCATTTCCATTAGAAAAGTCAAATTTTCACTGATTTTTTTTATATAATATATCAATATACCAGGATATCTCAAAATTTTGATTCATTCAAATAACTCATCTTTTGGTTGAATAACGGATTATTAATATAATTATTTTTTCCTTTTCCAATTTAATAATTTAAAATCAATTTCTCAACACAATTTTTCCATTGTAGTCAAATTGCATCCATTACTTTTCTGAATTTGATAAGTTTCAAATTTTCAAATCTAACTTTTCAGTTTTCAATATTAACTTTTTTACCTTTTTCAACATTTTAAAAATCAGAACACAAAGCTAACCAAGCGGTTCAAAGGATATCCTTCGTCCCTTTAATCACATTGTCGACAAAACTCTGATTCCTCGTATATTTCTGCATGCACTCTACGACGATACCGGACTCGAGGATCCTTGTTAACCAAAGAGGGTTGTAACGGACTGGTAAAGGAGGTTCCCTACTACGAAGTCAGAACTGAAGGAGACTATAACTACTTCCATCCTAAGAAGTACCTACCACAGTACTAGATAGCTCTGGAAGCAGAATTGAGAGCTGGAAGCTGCACTGACTGAAGGTTGAACTCCAAATTTACCCTAAGGAAACCCTCTTGGATACTTCATCGAAACATCCAGGTATAATCCATCCAAGTGCCACGACCTTCGATTGGAATCAGATGTATCAATTGTTCTTGTAAAGTGGAATGTTCTGATTTTATTTGCTCCATTTCTCTTTTCCTATTCAAACATTTTCACATAATTTTCAATAATATTTTAGGGCCTTCAGCCACTTCACTCAAAATACTGTAGTTTTTATATTCAGTCTTTTCACATCATTCTCAACCTTATTCTAGGGCCTTCAGCCCTTCATTCAACACCTTATTGTAATTTCAAATTCATCTGGCCCTCAGCCTTCTTGTATTTTATTTTTATTAAATAAATTGTTGAACCGATTTTCTTGTATAATTGTTTTGTCTTCTCATCCAAGCAAGGTTTTTTAGGAAGTGTCTATATCTAATTGGCTATTGTCTGTTGCAAGCCTGGCGCCCAAAATTATCGAACAGTCAAATTGATTACATAAAATCACCATCTGGATTAATCACTTTTAACACATCAATATTAAAATTGTAAATTTTGAACTCACACCCTACCGCATCAATCTGAGCAGCCCAAAGGCATAAGTATAAACTTTCATATTTTTTGTTTCAAAATTTTTCAAATTCTGAACTCAGGGTGTGGATTGTAATGCAATATGAAATATGAGTTGTCCTCATGAATGATGAATATGTTTGATTTTTTTGATTGGTAAACATATTGTACTATTGAAAAACATTCTGATGTAATTTCCTTCTTTGCAATAATAATAATAATAATGATAATTAATAATAATAATAATCATCATTGTTCTCAAAGAAGAATGTATAGATACCCCAGTTTATTTGACTTACATAATCAATATCAAATGGATTACAAAACAGTTATTTGTGTACCTAGACATTGAAGTTGAACTTTTTCTAAATGTGCAAAACTGAACCATTTTATATACTGACCCACTTTTCTCCTCTGGTTCTCTAGCCATATTCCTGTAATTTGTAACATCAAATATGCTCACTAAAGGGCATTTTCTCACATTTTAGGATTTTTTTTCATCTTCCGGTTTTCCTGGAAATGACATCAACTTTCGATTTTCAGATGGAACACCATGTATTTCATTCTATAATCGGTTAGAGATTATTATAAGGAATTCAACAATACCAGGTTTGATTGGGTTGGTTCAAAGGATTATGAAGATATTCACGTTCGAAGTTTCCATATGCTCAATGGGTGTGACAGAGAAAAAAGTTTCGATATGGCGCCGTCGAAAGTTGATATAATTTCCAGGAAAACCGGAAGATGAAAAAAATTCTTGAAATGTGAGAAAATTCCCTCTAAAGAGCATATTCGATGTTCCAAATTTCAGAAATATAGCTAGAAAACCAAAGGATTAAATAGGAGTATACCATGAGTTTGTGTCAAGCGGTATACAGGGTCTTTTATAATATATGCGCAGGACTTCAGGATTTGATAGCATGTCTAAAAATATGAGAACAAGTTTCTATTAACTTACCCTCTGAAATGCACCATTTTCGGAATACAGGGTGTTGAAATTGAAGACCTCGGTGCAAGAACCGGGCAACTCCAATTTTTTAAAATGTTGCGGAATGGGAAAAAACTTATTATTTTTGAGAAACTTGAAAAAAATTATGCTAAATGATATGAATCCTTCACATTTACGTTAGATAAGCTGTATTAACTTAGATAGTAGTTTCCATTTACATTGTAGAAGCTAAAAAAGAAGCTTGAAAAAATGGAGTTGCCTGTTTCTTGCCCCAAAAAGACAAAATTCTGAAAATATAGTCGAACTCGTGTAATAATCTTGCTTTTTTTATCGAAAATGAAATATATAACGGAAAATATTGTAAACAAATAGTATTTTGAATAGGAAGAATCACTGACGTTGCCTGCGTCTTGATCTTCGTGATAGCATTGCCAGAATTTGGGTCCACTTCATCAACAGTTATGTTTTTGGAACATATTCACTCTCCGAATCTTGAAAGGGCCCACTTTCACTTTCCGACGACATTACATTGTATTGCATGAAACAAATGATCAAACTAATCATTAAACTAATCACGCCACACCATGGAAGACGCGGGAAGGCTTGCCACTAATAATCTCACTCCGACATCTCCCACAGCACGCGTACATTTCGGTGCTAGAATCGGTTAACTCCTGGAGTTGCCCTACTCTAGCAGCGTCACGGCTTACATTTCAGTGCTAAAATCGAGTAACTCCTGGAGTTGAACGACTCTTGCACCTCAATGGCTCATCAGGTAAATCCTTTCCCGCGTTAACTCAATAGGAAATTGTTGGATTCGCTTGATTCTTGCACCAAAAGATGCGCAAGAAAAAATTCTATATGTAAAATACAATAACCTAATTTCGACATAAAATGGAGTTACCCGGTTCTTGCACAGAGGTCTTCAATTTGAAAAAAAAATGTTTTTTTGCAAATATCTCTGGAACCGTTTATCGCACAGAGAACAGCTTTAGTAATTTTTTTCTACTCAAAATAAGCTATGTTTTGTGCGGAATTTATTTTTTTCAAGTCATAATTAGTGAAGATTTTGAAGAGTTAGTGGATGTTTTCCTCCCCAACTTTTACGCGACTGGAAAAAATACAGTTTTGAGCCGCCTATTCGAACGGTCAATGTTTTCTACACAAAAAAGATACTCGTGGTCATAAGCTCTGAAGTTGACCATTTTTGAGAAAAATCAACTTTCATGTTGGCAATCATGGTGAGTTTTTAGAAACAATTATTTTTTACCAAAGGTTAACTTCAGATTGAAAAATTGAACAAAAAAAAAACAATAGCAAATCATACTCATTCAAATTAAAATGTCCGCGGTTAGTTCAATACACGCAGCAGTTTTTTAAAAAACTACCATGATTTTCAACATAAAAGTTGATTTTACTCAAAAACAGTCAAATTTAGAGCCTTTGACCAAGAATAACTTTATTGTGTAGGAAATATTGAGAGTTCAAATGGGTTGCTCAAAACTGTACTTTTTCTAGTGGCGTAGAACTTAGGGAGGAAAAGACTCACTACCCCTTCCAAATCTGCACCAATTATGACCTAAAAAAAACGATTTTTTTTTAAAATTTCAACACTCTGTATCTCGAAAATAGTGCTTTTTAGAGGGTAAGTTGATAAAAACTTTTTTCTTAGTTCACATCCTGAAGTCCTGCGCATATATTATGAAACACCCTGTATATGTATGTAATGTTCCTGAAGAAACATGATTTTTTCTCTTATTCTATTTCATAGGAGTCTCCCATAGTAGTGTCATCTGAGGCTATCGAAGATAATGATTGTGTCATTGTACCAGTGTCAGAATCTTTGGGGGATGTTCAAGCAAGTTGTTCCCCCACCGTTGATGATTGTGTCATTATACCTCCTTCAACAAAAGTCCTTAAAGAAACGGTTGATGAGAAATCGCCGGTCTCCTCCACAAAATCGTTGAACGACCACTTTGACACCACCAAAAGAGGACGTGCAGAAAAATCACAATTTTCCCAGAACAATGATTCCATCATAGAAAATTGTGTAGTTCTATCTTCAGACGATGAGGATGAGCCATTCGGAAGCAGCCAAATATTCGCCATTTCTAAGCAGATCAAACAAGAGCAGACTTCCTTCCAGGACAGTGTTGATCCATACTCTGAGATTAAACATGAATTGGAGGACTTGGACTTCTGTGATGATCGTCAAGTTATAGTCGACGTTACCGATGATATAGATCATTTTGAAAGTACAGCAGATCTACTGAATATTCTGGTTAGTTGATATGAAGGGTTCTGTGATATGCAATATGAACTATTGATTCTGTTCTATTCTGTATGGATTTTACTCAACAGCTCAGTTTGCTACAAGGTCTATATAAACCAGCATACATACAAAAAGATACAAAACGTATGTACACAAATATCATAGAAATTTGATTTGTCTAACACTACTAACCCTGGCAAGTTTTTTATTTTATCTGTTGATCATTTAGTTAATGGAAAATATTTTGAAACATCATTAATTGATGGAGCAATCTTATAACAGGGTTTTATTCATTTTTTCTCAATTTTTAAATATACATGATGAATTTAAAATAAATACCTACAAATATTTCAAATAGGATAAAATAAAATTCGGATCAAGACCTTTTTTTCTGACCAAAATTCTACACTGTAGCAATTTCAACGTTATTTAAAACAATTTTCCATGTGGATTGTGGTGTACTTGATTTTGATTCTATTTTTGTTCAATTTTCAAGAACAAATTTCTTGTTGTCAGAAAATCTAATAATAATAATGATTTAACTTATTGATCCCAATGTATTGCTTTATATAAATATATATCCATTTTTGTATGTTCATAATTTATCTGAGAATATTCCTTTTCAACATTAAGGGAACGTTTGTTGGACTTCATCATATCAATGTGGTCTCATTTCAGAATCACTCTGTTCAACAGTTTTTCACAATCATGAAAATCGAATATACACATGTGAACATGATTATCACTTGGTTAGGTTTGGTTAGGTTAGGTTAAAAGTGAGTGGGTCTATTCAGCTCTCCACTGCGACCCATTAGGGTCTATTGTGGCTCACACAAATTCATACTCCACCAAGTAGATCCAGCTAATTGATGAAGCCAATTAGTTTACTTGGTGAGTGATCTTTCAGGTCCAAGGGCGAGAGTGGGACCCTACCATACAGTGGCGGGGCAGGCTCAAGTTTTGACACATGAAGATTCAGACGACAGTGCCCTATAGGTAGGCCTGTTAAAGAGTGTAGGTCATCCCTGTTGTTGTTTGTTTGGTCACATTCTTCAAAGGATGTTTGAATATGAATGTCTTAGAATGAGCCAATCCTGGTAGATTCTGCCGGAACTCTGAAACTATCTGATCATCCCTAATGCAAATATTATTCAATATTTCAAATCATACACATCAATACAATTTAACAGAAAAGTGTATGTCTTACTTTAGCGTTAAAATTTGTGACAACTTTATCACAACTACAGTTGTCTCTATCACTGAAAGATAATATACATATATTTTTTTTTCTCAAAACTGGTCATATACTTGAAGCTACTGCAATCCAGAAAGTTTATAGGAATAGTGTAGTTAAGATGATTATTCTGGAATTATTTGTACATTATTGAATTTTCATTTGATCAGCTATAAAGTTAACATCTACCAGTATCAAATATTAAAAAACAAATTTATATGTTCCAAATGAGTACCTACCTATTAATTTCGAAGTTGTGGAGACTTTTATTTTTTGATTATTCTGCTCCACTTCGAGTATGGACTTCTTCAGGAGATTATCATTAATTTTTTCAACTATTATTAATCACAAAATATCCCACAATAAGATTATTATAATGTAAACAATTCGGTGTGTACATTATGATATTGACAGATCAAATAGCATATTTTTGTTTTAAGAATTCTTTTTTGTAGATTGATAACATTTCAATTGCAGGAAAATCCTCAGGAAACGAAACAGCATGAAAAAGTATCTGAGAGTATAAGCAGAGGACATGAAACAGTAAGAGACCAACCAGAATCAAAAGGGCAACATAAGTACGTTAAACCGCCTATAATAGCAGCGCCTCATTTTGATAAGAAATCTAGCAGTAAAGTGAAGAAGGAATCGCCTGCTAAAATACCTAAAAAACGAAAATCTACGTCCAAACAGGAAGAACAAGAAATCAACAAGAAACCAAAAACGGACAGCAAATCTAAAAAAGAATTAGCCGAGGAGCGCAAGAAGCGTTTGAAAGAACTAGCAACAAAGACTAATCCAATGGTGAAAGACAACAAAGCAAAGTTGAAATCAAAGCCAGCAGTTCCATCCAGAAACGAAAATCCGAAAACCACCGTCATAAAAAAGACATCTCCATCGAAAACCGTAAAAGCATCGACGAAAATAATGACAGCAGACACCTCAAAAAACGAACCCACCAAAAGCGCCGCGAAAATAAAGACGTCAGACAGCCGCGGCAAATTCCTCCTGCATGAGATCGACGTACCCCCAACGTTGCCGCGCAGTGCTAGAGACCCCAGATCTAGGTATAAAACTAATTCCCTTACAGACAAAGAAAAGCTCGCCAGCAAAACGTCCCAGAACTCCATCCAAGACACTACCGTTTCGAGCAACTTGAGCCCCAGCAGCGACGAGGTAAACCCGGCGTGGCAAGAAACCGGCATCGCGCCCCGCCCGGACTCGACCGAGGACAGGTCCGGCTTGATCTGGAAACTGGGAGCCTTCCGACAGCCCGCTAAACTTCGTCATGTTTCCAGGAGCGTTGACGACCTCAACGAGGACATTTGCGCGGTGGTTGGCTGGTCGGTGAAGTGGCTTTTAGAGCAGGGGGGCATGGACGTGAGTCCGCCCGTGAACGGCAACAGGCCCTTGATGCGGGTGCCCTTGTCGTTCAGGGGGTTCGCCGAGTACGAGGCGCTCATGAATCCGCTAATCAAGCTGGAGTTGTGGCAGTTCATCTACCAGACGACGTTCAATAAAGAAGATGAAAGGTCAGTGGGAGATTTTAGTTTGGGCCGTGTCTTATTTTCAGAATTCCTCCACGCGAAATGCAAATGAAGGTAGTGATGTCAACCTTCTGCTTGGATCTTTTCCTTGAATGATCCTCGCTTATACTGCATAGAGCGTTTTCCCTTACGATCAATCCACACTAATTTCGCGTGGAGCATTCCCTTATCATTAATTCACGCTATTTTTTTAGGGAATGTTTCACGCGAAATTAACGTGAGGTAATCACAAGGGAATGTTCCACGCCAAATTATTAATCAAGAGGGAAATATCCATGTGAAACATTGATATCACTACCTTCATGATGCATTTTGCCCGGAGGAATTCTGAAAACAAGATTCACGTTAGCGTGGTTCTAGTCACCACCTTTAGTTTATTATCAAAGTCGTATCCTTGCGGAAAGTCAGAAGTGTTTCACAATTGTGGTCATGCAGACCAGACTTTGGTAGACTTTTTTGGGGTTATCAAGAAATCAATTGTGAAAAGAATTATGCTGAAACCATATTCGAAAAACATCCTTATCCTCAACCATAAAACGGGGTTGTCCACACTAGTAGATTTTTTGTTGTTGAATATCAGAGCTCATTTCAAACGAACCTTCATCGCCGCCATTTGGCGATACATCCGATAAATGGTGACGTCAGTTTTTATGCTGTTTCATTATTGGTGCATGAAGCAAGGTTGTCAAGTCACCAATTATATTATCAAAAAGATGTTAGAATCCTGTCGTTGAATATAACATAATAGGAGGAACCCATGATATTATAGTTCATTCTTGACTTTTTTGAGCAACCAGCATGTCCAAATATTTCTTCTTCTCCATAACAAAATATCATGTAAATGTTGGAGACTTGCCAACATTGTGCTGAATGCGGAGAACTGACAAGACCACGCCCACAAATCGTGCGCCGTGTTGTCAAGGAAACATTTTGAGACAATTGAATTTTTATTGCTAGTTAGGAATATTACCAATGCTAAATTGTGAATTTATGAATTGGTGAATAACAAATATTTTTGAAGTTCCCCATCGCATTTCAACACATGGCAACTATGCTATGGTCTGTCCCTACTCGCGAAATCGTGGCGTTAGTTTTCACTGGCGGTAATTTTCTAGCTGTTTGAAAATTTTAGTAGTATTCACATTCACAGAAGACAGTAGTTCAACCTGGTCACTAATAATCACTTAGTGGATACTTATATACTTGCTTCAGTACCAATGAAAATATCCTAGTATTCCTAATAATGATCGAGATTTCATTTGAACCCAAGTTTTTTTGTCGAACTGTCAACAGAGTAATGTCTCGAGTTCCCAGAAATACAAGAAGAGAAGAAAAAGACGAACTACATTGTCACCCTGTCTACCTAACGTCACCTTCATCTTCAAATCCTTGTTTCATCTAGTCAAGATGCGAATATTCGAAGATATTTCGGTCTTATTATCTGATTTTTCAGTTGTATGTTATGTCCTCTGATATCTGCAGCCCGACCACGATAACTTTGGGACAGCACGTGGTCGCATATGCATTGACTTTGCATATGCGTTACGTCACGTGCTGTCCCTAAGTTATCATGGTCAGACTATATTCAGTCCACAAAATTCACTAGAGTTTCAATAATAATTTAAAAAATGTACAGAGCTTTGGGACAAAAACGGTTTGCGACAGTGAACTAGTTGGGGTTAGTACTTGGACATAATGGAATAGGTACAATTTTTCACTGAAACAGGTGCATTATTTGAGTCTTATAAAGCAGAACAATATATAAACCATAGTTAAATCAACTGCTTGACACACTTGACAGCGCATATCGATGGTGATTCCTCTTCTCGTGTTTAGCTAGTTTGGTGTTCTTACCTATTATTCTACTTCTTGAGATTGTTGGTAATGTCAAGGCTCTCAATCCATATCTTATTAATAAACTGATTTTCCCATTGGACATGGAACTGTGATACAACAAATTTGTTGGACTTGTGGCCTATAGGATTCAGAACTAAGCGCAGTTTATTTGGATTTTGGTACTTAAAATCCCACCACGTTGAGCAAATGATAGATTTATAAAATTTGTGAAAAGAAAAATGTGTATATTGTTACTTCAAAGTTGGGAACCAACTCCCCAGAAGTCGACACTTGTGCGGGGTCAGGAAGAGCGGGACCTAGCAGAGGCGGCTCCTCACGAATTTTCATACATCGAATAGTTCAATATACTTGTATAAAATACACACCCAATACTTGCACCATTTCTATATTTTTTGTCGTAAGTATAAGTGATTGTTGTTATTTGGTTCGATGGCCATTGAAAACATGATGATATCAGCGCCTCTTTTCTATGAACAAGAACCATTAAAGTGTCGTAGGTTTTTTGTAGAATTTCACATTCACACTACCCATTCAGCCTCCCCTGTTGACAGAAGCACGAGCCGCCACTGTAACCTACAGCTTATAGTGGATTCACAACTAATTTTAGGGTGCCGAATTGAAATCAATTTAGTTTGTATTAAGCTATAAATCATTTGATTGACTGATTTTTCTTCTCTTGAGTTAGTGCGGCAGGATGTGCAATCATAAACAAACAGGCCTTTTGATACGGAAGAAAATATTGTGGCTGTATTTTTCAGGAGATAGTGCAATTATTCTCCGAGACAGACTCATGCCACACCAAACGAATTTTTAATTCATGCCTTCTTCTGGCTCTATTGTTCGGAGTTTTCACTAAAGAAGATTAATATTGACAGCAGCATTACGCGTCATTGTCTGTCCAGAAAAATAGTGAAATTTGAAGAGAAATACATTCGTGAATTTAAAAAATATATAAAAATTGGCTAAAATTGATGATTATGCTTCTAATGGCGCTGAAGATTGAAGACCTGTGATCCAAGAAACTGAGAAAATTGTTTGAAAAATGTATGTGACAAGCAAATAAGAATAATTCTGAAATGTCAAAAGATATTTCAAAAAATCTACAAGATGATTCAAATTACGATTTTTTCCAATGCACCCAAATAAACTATGACAAAACCAATGATGATTCAACCAACAAGTTGATAAGTTCAGATTTTGATCATGAGTCAAGTAAACTTATGAAAAGCCAAGTAAGTAGGGATATAATTTTTTTAAAAAGAGAAAATGAACTCCTATTAGAACTATTGAGGGCGAAAGATGACATAATTCTGAAAAATGAAAAAATAATCACCAATCTTACCAATCAAGTGGCTTTCTTATCAACAGAGTACAACAATATGATAACAGAGAGAAATGAAAAACAAGATATGGTATTAGAATTGAAAAATTTGAATTCCAAAATGGATAACTTCGCTCTTAAATCAAATGCAACAGGAAACATTGAAATGAAATCATATGCTGACATACTGAAGAAGGATATCAACAAAAAAGATGTTCCTCGCAATTTCCCTTCTTTAATAATAAAACCGAAGTCTCTGCAAACTAATGAAAAAACCAAAGAAGATATTCGAAACAAAATAAATCCAATACTGGCCAAAGCAAGTATCACTGGAATTCAAGACATTGGAAAAGGAGGTGTTTTATTAAAGTCAAGCTCTGAAGAAGAGATCAAACGATTAGAAGACATCGCTCAGAAAAATATTGGCACCAACTACATAGTCAAAACCTCTAAACTCAAATCCCCAAGGATTGTTATGATTGGATCGAAGAATTTTACATCTACGACAGAAATACAGGATGAGCTACGTATTTTCAATTACATTGATGAAGATGATACATTAACTTTTAAATATTCCAGACAATCAAAATATTCAAACAAATTTATCATTTATTTAGAAACTGTTGGTAAGACTTATCATAAATTGGTGAACAAAGAAATTATTTTGGGGTGGCATAAATTCAAAATTAGAGAGGATTTCAATATAATATCCTGCTCAAAGTGTAATGCTTATGGTCATATCTATAAGGATTGTAGGAATTCTGTATCATGTTCAATTTGTGCTGGCGATCACCAAAGTAATCAATGCAGTAATAAAAATAATCCGAGTTGTATTAATTGCAAAATAGCAATTGAAAAGTTCAACCGAAATGGTAAGCATGACCACAATGCGAATAGTGAAGATTGTCCTATTTTCAAAAACAAAATTATTTTAGCTAGAAATCGTATAAACTATGAATAACATCAATGTGGTAAATTTCACAAAGCTGAACAATTTCAATATACTCTACTTGAATATAAGGAGTTTAGCTAATAAAATCAATGAAATAGAGGTTATATTGAAACGATACAAACACGCACATTTATTAGTTCTTACAGAGACCTGGTTGAAAACTAATGAAACTGAATATTTCAATATTGCTAATTTCTCAAGTATTCATAATTGTCGGGATGATAGACAGGGAGGGGGAGTAGCAATTTACTTACGGGATGGATTAATTTTTCAGAAAATTTATAAAAATGTGAACAAAGAATACAATACAATAGAAATAGAGATTTCTCAGTTTCAATCTAAATTAAAAATTATTGCTTTATATAGACCTCCTAATTCCAATATGAATGATTTTTTACAATACATAGATGGGACTATGGAGCAAAATAATAAACTCATAATAATAGGAGACATAAATATAAATTTGTTGATGAACAATAATGATGTTATGAATTACACAAATTTAGTAGAAAGCAATGGTTTTCGAATTGTGAACGAAATTAATTTAACCAATTATACTAGAAATCAGAGTGACTCTTTCAGTATTCTGGATCATATATTGACAAATTGCCACAATTTCAATTTCAAAATATCTATGGAAAATACTTCAATTTCTGATCACAGAATTATGTATACTACCATAAAAAAATCCAACACTCAATTGAAACAATTTAAAAAACGTGAAATAGTCAAAATTGATTATACTAAATTCAAACAAGTATTTTCTGAAAAATTAATGCAAACACAATGTGAAGTATTTCAGGACATAATAGACATTATTGTGGAATCTAAAAGACAATGTTCATCGAGGATATATTTGAGATCACGTGAAGATAACGATTGGATCAATGACACAATTATTCAAGAAATAAAAATTAGAAATTCCAAATTTGATAGACATAAACAAAATTTTGGTAATCAAGAACTTTTTGATGAATACAAAATACAGAGGAATAAAGTAAATGCTCTGATAAAACGAGCGAAAGCGCAACATATTAATAGAAAATTTGAAAATTCTGAAGGTAATCAAAGAAAACTTTGGGATACGATAAACTATTGTTTGAGAGGTTCCACAAAATCAAACAGATATAGTGATATTGAATCGATAAAAATTAATGGTAATATTGTCAATAATGATCTAGAAATAGCAAACATTATGAATTATCATTTTTCGAGTATTGGTGAGAATATAGCAGAGGAAATAAAATCGTATTATAATAATCTTCCACGTCAAAATGTCTGTCCACAATATAATGATTCCACAATGCTTCTGTTTCCCACTGATGAAAGCGAAATCATTTCTATAATCCATGATTTAAAAAAGACATGCCCTGATCCAGAAGGTTTGATTACTAAAGACATATTTGAATTGAGACACATTTTAGCTACACCAATATCAAAATTAATCAATGAATCTTTCATAAAAGAAACTTTCCCACACGAATTGAAACATGCATCAGTAAGAGCTATTTACAAAAATGGAAATGCTCAGGATCCAACTAACTATAGACCAATAGCTTTAATAAGCATATTTTCTAAAATTTTTGAAAAAATTCTCAAGAAACGCATTGTAGAATTCATCAACAAAAAATATAGCTTCGATTCTAATCAATTTGGTTTTCAAGAAAACAGTGGAACACAAGCAGCAGTATTACAAGTGATAGAATCAATCCAGAGAGGACTTGATTCAGGAAATTATGTGGTAGCTGTTTTCATTGATCTCAAAAAGGCTTTTGACACAGTTGATCATACAACACTTTTAGAAAACTTAGAAACAATGGGACTCAGAGGCACTGTGAGAAATATTTTGAATTCATATCTTGAAAATAGGACAATCAATACAAAATCAACCAACTCTGTGTCAAATAAACTCTTAATCAATAAGGGTGTCCCACAGGGCTCTGTTTTAGGACCTATATTATATTTACTTTATGTTCAAAATATCAGTGAAATTGGTCTCACGAGTAAATATACCATGTATGCAGATGATACAGTACTTTTATATGAAAGCAAGAATCCTTCAAATTCAGAAAATATGATAAATGAAGACTTGAAAATATTTGAAAAATGGCTCCACTCTAACCTTTTATCGATAAATACTAATAAAACAGAATATTTGATTTTTCACCAAAAAAATAAACAAAAAATTTTCCTCAACCTTAAAATGAAAAATGAACTCTTAAAACAAACTGACCAGATAAAATATCTTGGAATTTGGTTTGATGACAGGTTGAAGTGGGACAAACATATTGATGTTCTGACAAAAAAAATATCTCCAATTATTGGTGCATTGAGAAGATGTCCCAAACTTGATATTAAAATTGCGAACATGATTCTCTACTCTCATATACTGAGTCGTATCAACTATTTAATAAATGTTTGGGGAACTTGTTCAAAGAACAATTTCAATAAAATATCAACATTATATAGAAAATCGTTAAAAGTATTGTATCGTCTCCCATTTGATACACCAACCAATCAATTGTTTGAAATAACAAATACGTATTCTTTAGATGAAATATATAGAATTGAAACTCTCAAAATATCATATAATATCATAAATAAAAAATTGAAGTCGAATTTTATGTTGATACGGAATTCTGAAATTCATAATCATGAAACAAGACAATATAACTTGTTTCATCTTGACGCCGCTAGCTCCATTATCGGACAAAAAAGATTCACTCATTCAGCCTTAACTGAATTCAATAAACTACCTGACAATATAAAAAATTGCAGAAACATAGGTTCATTCAAAAATGAAGTGAAAAAATTGATTATTTCTGAGCGAACTGGATAAAATTGAACATGCCATTTTTTTTTTTTTCACAAATATTATTCTTTGTTTGTCAATTTACAGTTGTTGATATATTTTGTATAATGATATGTTTACCTATAGGTATATAATTATGTACTTCCTTATACCAGAGCCTATTCTGTCTGGAAGTTATTTGTTCAATAAATAAATAAATAAATAAATATAATAGGTCAATAACTCGACAATATTCACTCCATATTAGCTCTTATATGGTCGTATTGCATCTTACATTCATTTTTTCCGAACGTGAGAAATTGTTTGAAATAGCGAGTTTTATTCCTTTTTCCGATTTATATTGTTGACATTATACAGGGTTATACAGGCATTGAAGCGACCGAATGAGACCCTGTACTAGTGTGGTGAAAAATAAAGAGGTCCTTTTTCGATATTTTTGTTAGCTACATGATTTGTTGTTGCCACCTTCTTGAACATATGGCTCTGACGGATAAATAAGTATCTTTAATGCCACTGGGGCATGCCATTTCACATTATTGTCATGACAATTCTTCAGTAGCTGCCTACTTAACTTTGGAAACCATATTAAGAATGTACATTTCACTATTCGACCGACCTTTCCTCCTTACCACAGCATATTTGTCTTTCAACATTTTTTTGTTCAGTTGAGAAGGGCTATTACTTGAAATTATCGAGTTTTCTTCATTTGTATTTTAGGTTGCCGATTAAAGCACGTATAGTACATGAAAGAAAAGTTCATCCAGTATGCTGCCTAGATTGTGAACGTGAGTTTTATTAATTTAATATATCCGTTTATTTGTTGACTCCATTAATCTGTTTACAGTATTCTTGAGCGATGCTGAGAATAGAGCGAATCCATTCAGACCAGAAGACCTTTCCTTGATTGAAATTAGATTGAAAGACTCTTCCAACTGGTACCAATATACTAGCTATGGGTACTTGAAAAGTGTTCAGAGAAACACAACAAGAGATGGTTAGTTCATTATATGTTTTTTATCTAATCTTCAATCTATCTAGTCTAGTGTATATGACAGCTACATTAAGTTTTTTCCCACCGAAAACTGGAAATACGGTCCATTTAGTTTCGCTTTATTACCTTATTACTATTATGTTTTATTGTTGAAGAAGTTTGATAAAAGTTAATTGATTTTTTTTTATTCCAATAGGACATCATGTGAAATTAACTATAGTTACAAAACATTATTCCGAAGAATTGTTTGGTACCAGAATGTTCATAAAAATTATAGCAAACATAGGCAGTTATCTCAGACTGATAAAAACTATTAGGTATCTGGAATTGTCGCCGCTATGTAAATATGTTTTGAAACCAGATAATTTGGAACCCATTTTACCAACAACAAAATCAATTACAAATTTGATGGTAAGTGTCATTTATCTTAATAAAATATAATATATCCTTTATGATCCAAAATATTGTCCAGTTTTATGAAATAGTTTTTTGGAATTGGAATCTCAATGTTTGATGTCGAAATTCGTTCTTTCAGCCCATAAACTTGAACCAAATGCAGCACGAAATTGTTGCTGATGCATCTGAAGTATGTCTCAAAGATGGTCCCGGAATATATCTAATCAAAGGACCACCTGGAACTGGTAAATCGACCGTGATAGTTGGAATTATCATGGAAATATTGTTGAATAACCAGTGGGGAGATCCGCCGCCTCTAATTTTGTTGACAGCACCCTCAAATGCTGCCGTGGACGGTTTGATTTTAAAGCTGAATGACGCCCGTTCTAAATTACCAGGTATGGCTCCTCCACCATTCCTATGACATACTTTCTGAAAATCCACATTCACACAGAGTTAAAATACGATTGCCTGTGCCAGTACGACGTTGCCGACATCATCAATATGTCTAGATTTCCGGACATTGTTCTTTGAATGCATACTAACTATTTCATAACAGCGATGGGATACAATGGGTTCTTCCATCCTACATGATCCTACTTTGGATAATTCCCATAATTCTCATTGGCTAAATGGAGTTGATTACTAATAAAGATAAATTATGATATTTTGCGATAGTATCTATAATTTTTCACTATCGTTACATTACAATATGTTATTCATAACTTGTCAGTCACTTTTTTGTTGCTAATGAATTCGTTCGGATCTTTTTTCTCGGAAAGTTGCAGATTATATCTTGCAACAGCGCCTAATACTTCCAGTCCGTCCACACCACTCAAAATACCGATAGACACAACAATTCTGTTCTGACCGATGGCAGTAAATTAGGAAGGATAGTATCATTGAATGTAGCCGATAGCAATTCATTCATTCAATGATATTTTCGTTTTGGATCCAGCTCTATCGATTCGACTTTTGGCCACGGTTGGAGAAACATAGCGTCTCGAGGCCAAAAGTCAGGTTAATGTATGTGAAGTCCATAATTTTCTAAATACCTGATCTGCATTGAAATTCAATATTTAATGTGAAGTTTATTAAGTGTGTGTGAGAAATATCAGGCTCTTTTATCTCTACGCCGGTATAGTGGCCGGATGATAACGCATTCATCGGATAAGGCGGTCATACTTGAAGTCAAATGTGAACCATTATTTCTACTCCGGAAATCAGGTCGGATCAGCAACGGATTTGCTGGATAAGAGGAGTACATACGATCGAATCTTATGAACACTGATGACTCGGCTTCAGGGCATTGTGATAGACAATTGGTGTCTTAGGTGGCGAGTCGAGTGATATTATTATTACAGAACCAAATATTCATTCTTGAAAAAATTGATTACCTGATCTGGAGAAGTTGTTACCGAAAGGAGACAGAAATCCAATTAACCCAAAGAGAAGAAGAAGATCGAGTTCTATTCGAGATATTTCAATGCATAAATAACAAAACCTGAACCTGTCAGAATGAAGTCAACTACCTTCTGCATTCTTGCTCCTTGGGCATTTGGGGTTATGTATGTTTTTGTTTACCAGTTTTACTTCTTCTATTTTTTCATTCGATTTTCATCTGTTAGCTATTCGCTAGCTATATTGTTCACCATCAGCTATTTCAAAACTAGATTCAGAATGTACATCACAGTTTGCCTGAGAATTAGAAATTGCTTTAATTTGAGAATGAAAACGACTCGGACTTTATCGGTCGCCATTCTGTACAGCGTGGACATAAAACTGGAGAGTTCCGGACTTATTTGAGGAAAATTCATCTGAAGGAAACTTCCCCAATCAGGAGGTTCAAATTGGTTCAAACACTTGTGATATCTTTTTCAGATAGCTTGAAATTTGATGTATTTTGATACTTAGAGAACTCGTAAATTCTGGAAAATATCATTCAGACCCGTTTTTGAGGACAGTCTCTCAGTCTAGAAGGGATGCAAATTTGAGTCTTGAATCAATTTTGGCAAAAAAACGTTTGATTTCTAATGTGGCAACAATTTTGAGTTGATTCAGTACTGTTCCCTGTTGTCTGTGTACAAATGCATATTCAAATGTGTTATCAGTCTTACCAGCCACATCGAAATTTTTATATATTTCAATGTTTTTATTGGGTAGATTCATATGTTTTATAAAACTTGTGCACAATAATAAACTTTTTTAGATTCAATAAGAAAACATCTGAAATTAGTGCGGATTGGTCCAGACTCAAGCATCAGCCAAAACGTGAACAAGTTCAAACTAGACGTCCTGGCTCGCAACAACATAATATCGTGTAATGGTCTGTCTTCCTTGCTCGCATACAAAGAATCTGTGGAAAAGGGCCAGGACAGCGATAAATTCTTGAGACAACATTTAGGCCAAGATTATGCGTACCAAATGAGAGTCGCCGAAGATACTCTCTTGATGAAGTCTAATATCATTTGTACGACTTTAAATAGTTGTGTGAGTCATCGAATTTTGCAGGCCACTAGAAGGTAAGAGCATATTTTATTCATTCATTCAACGGAAAGAAAAAGTCCATTAAATATAATGAAGTAAAACTTCTGAATTCGTGGATCTTGTTCTAAGGTATATATTGGTCAGACAGATAAAACGTTCAACCACCGCATTCAAGAACATCATATGAATTTAGTTAGAAGAAAATCATAGTTTTGATGAAGCAGTTGGTTTAATCAGTTTCTAGCTCTACACAACTAGATTGTTTTTCAACTTTCAATATTTCATGATATCATCAATATCTCATTTTGAAGGATAAATTGCTGCAACACTCAATTTTTTCCTAGTCTCGATGATTTTTTAGGGCTCCTATGAAATTTACGTGCTGTATAGTTGACGAAGCTACTCAATGCAATGAGCTGGAATCTCTATTGCCTATTCAATTGGGAGTACAGAAGTTTGTTCTTGTAGGAGATCCTAAACAGTTGCCAGCTGTGGTATGTAACAAGGTAAGAATAATGTTGAGTGAAATGTCATATAGTTAGTATCTACCATAATGTAATCAAACAGAATGGTTGACATAATTCAGCGCCATGATTCAGCATAGACGTTTGGTTCAAGAAACATATATACATGTATATACATAAAGGACGTGATTTGGATTCATCAAATCGTGATTGATGTCGATAAATTATCAAGGAATTTCGTTCAAGTGGCATCTTGAGGCAGATTGACTGATCTCACAGCCTTCTTAAAAACCTGAACAATGCTGAGTAGATGCCTGGGAACAGCTCAATTAGTCCTATACTTTCATTGTTAGCCATAAGAACATGGTGAATCTGTTTAGTGTATGGTTATTTCTTCATAATGTTGATGAAAGTTGAACTACAGTGTAAGGAATAATTTAGTAATGGAATTATGAGTTGCAGCGTGCGGATTCCATAAAAAATTGTGTTCCTGACGTTTTGATTTTCAATTTTCTGGTTTCTGGGAATGAAGTGAGTAGATTCCTGTCCCGATATCTGTTTATGAAAATGAGAGTAAAAAAAAAAAGATTCTTGTTGTACCAAGAAGTTGACTTGAAATCGAAAGTTATTCGCTTGCGGTAAATTATCCGTGCCGTTGTGAGGTCTAAGATTTCACAATGCTGCGTTGCCAACTATCTCAGTACGGCCCCACAGTTTGGGATCTGTGGTTTGAGTATGCTTCGATTGATCTGACTCATTACATAATTTGCAGAGTGAGGAGTGATGATTTGAACATATTTTCGAAAAGTTTACAACAGTTTCAGAGAGATAATTTCAACTTGACCAACCTTCAATGTAAGATAACGTAATCTTTTGAAATACATTTTCAGGAAGCTCACAGGCTGGGCTTCGGGCAGTCCCTGTTCTACAGGATCCAAGACAACTTCATGAACAAGTCCTACTCTCCCGTCAAGATGCTCTACGAGCAGTACAGAATGAAACCGGAGATTTGCGAGTACCCGAACAAAGCCTTCTACGAGGGCAGGCTGAAGTCGGTGCCCAAATGCTCAAACCCCATCGAACCCGCCATCAAACCATATCTTGTCTTCAATCTGACCAAGTTCAGCGACGACAGATCGGATTACGTGAACACCGATGAAGTGTTCCTCATCAAGAAATTGTTGGAGACTCTGTTATCCTGCGTGAAGCCTTCTTGCGCATACAGTATCGGCATCATAACCCCTTACCGGGCGCAAAAGGATCTGATCACTCAGTACATATCTGGGATCAGGTGAGAACTGTTTATAAAAACTTGGAAAATCACATGAGACCATGGTGGAATTATAATATGGTGTGCTACGACGCATCTTCGTATACGCCACTGTGAGTAAAACAATTGCTCGCAGTCTGAGCTCGCAGTTATCAATCAGAAAAGACGAATTCAAGGTACCTGAATAGCACACCATATTATATTTCCACCGTGCATGAGACGTACTTTTCCTGTTTTGGTTCTGAAATTTGGACATCCGTTTTATACCTCCTGACATAGATGTATAGAAATTGAAATGGTGCAATCACTTCCTATTGGAACGAGTTTGAAAAAATCTCTCACTATCGCCTACATTGCAGAAATGGCGAAGTTTCATCATGACAGATCCATTCAACTTTATATTTTCATTTCCACAATTTTTGGTGGAAATAGAAAAGTTGCATTATATTTTCGACTTTAAATGGCGAATTCATGAACGACTTGAGCCCTAACTAAAGAAAATCCTGTGAACATACTTTCTAACTTCACTTTTCACATGATACGAATTCTCGGATTTTCATGTAATCCTCACACATTGAAGCAACATCAGTCCTGATACATACAAGTACTTCACACTCAGTCAACTGACATAATATCAATACCTACTTAATAAACCACTCATTCATGATAATTTATATTTCCATTTGGAACTTAACAAAATCGTAAATATGCCGAAAACGTTACTCTCGTGACAGATGTAAAGGCATTTGTTGCCAACAGAATTTGAAAAGACGTTAAATCTTTCGAAGAATTCCTGTATCCGAATCCTTATTGGTCATGATGAATCACGTGATACATTTTGGACGACTTCGCATTCAGTTGCAAAAAAACTTGGAACCATTGACGGGACTCTTCAGGTTCAAGAGAAGGGAAACACATGCTTAAAAGTTTAGTTCAACTTCATAAGATTCGAAAGGCATCATTGAAGTTTTTCAAGCAATTTTCCATTGTTCCCGCCATCTATCATCGGATATGGAAACCCCACATTCCGAGCTCGCATTCAATTGTTCATGTCGAGAGCTAGTACGAAACAATTCACTGACATTGGGTGAACACAAAATGATGGAATTTGAAAATTACACAAAATTGGTTTTATGACATTTGGAGAAAAAATTATATATTTCACACGACAGCAAATGTAGATTCACTGTCTTGGCTGAATTCCTAACCTCGCTACGCTCGGCTATGAACTATCATCCGCGGCAGTCAATCTACTACTTTGCTGCCTAGTAAAACAAATAACTATTTTATTAGTCATTGAAAGCTAAATGAAATTTTCATTGATAAACAACAATATATGAGAAGTTGACTGAGGAATAGAACGCGTTTGGCTTGAAATTCTTGCCAATCAAAGCTCAGCTCAATAGTTTCTTTTGGAATATAAATTGATTCCAAAGACCTTTCAATATCTCAAAACTAATTGATATCTCAAATGCAGTAGTAGCATAAGTCTTGTTGGGAAACATCATGAAAACTTGAGTAAGCAACACATTGATTATTCTAAACTTCATTCCAAATAGGAAATTAGATGGCGTTGCCTCTGAAGGAATGTTCACACTGACGAAATAAATATGTGGCGCCTAATTGAAAATCATGACCATTCTAATGATTGAATTCCACTTTTGAGTTCGTGTTTATTCTCAGCATTGATTGTAATATGAGAAATGCGACAAAGAATTGTGTTATTTCACGTCATACGTTATAATATTAGATAGGTGCAATATTGTCTTCAATATTCACCAATCAAAGCGAATGTCAACGCTTCCCTATGTTTTCCAATGCTGTATTCTAAAATGGAATGTACTATAGACCACGTGACTCTAAGCGGCGAACAACATTAAATGCAGATTACAGACTCATATTTTTCACTGTCACACAAACATATTTTCATTTTGCTCCGGTTTGTTCTGTTCAGAATCGTTGCATATGACCGAAATTTGCTCAAAATTTCATAGTTCGCAATTTTCTCACGTAGAATCCAGTCCTGAGATACAAAATATGATACTTCCATTGCCGAAATATAACAAAGCTGGTCGGATTATCGATTTTGTTCTAGTTTTTCGGTCCCCATTTTTCATCTGCCTAAGCTTCCCAGGTCAAGAAACAAGAAAACGATAAGGCTATCTGATTTTATATATTGTATATACCAATATTGGCATTTATATTGGTAGTAAGGGTGGTGACGGATGTGCTGCGAGCAGATTAGACATCTATTGTGTCCCATCTTCTCTGCTTTCTTGAGAATTTTTGTTCATGGCAGCGTTTCAGTTCTTTGAGGAATCTGAAGATCCTGAGGATGTTTTCTTGTGGTATTTCCTACACTTCTAACTGGTGCGCTAACTGGTGCGATCCTAGTTGTTTTTAATCGTTCGTCTCGATATCTGGAACATTAAACGTCTATATGAATAGATATTAGTAAATCAGAATCAATTTTTTTCCAGGAACAATAAGCAGAAAGATGTTTCCATAACGGTCAACACAGTCGATAGCTTTCAAGGAATGGAAAACGACGTGATAATAATATCTTCTGTGAGAAACAAGAATAACAATTTTCTACAGAATGAACAGAGACTGAACGTGGCCCTGACAAGAGCTAAGCAGGCCTTATATGTTATAGGCAATTACGCTTTATTCAAGGTAAATGAAAATTCTTAGGGTAGAACAATAATTATTCTGATGAACAATTATTTTTAGCACTGCAAACCATTGTATGATCTTCGAGAAGATGCCAAAAGAAGGAAGCTGCTCCTTGACATCAAAGAAGATCCAAGGAACATTCCTAATTTGGATAGATATATACTGAAGAACCCTGCACCATATTATGGCCATTAATAATGAAGGTTGTAAGATTCAACGTAGTGTATGATAAGTTTTTCAATAGAGTTCCTAAATGTAGTTGAAACTGGCTGTTTTGACGTTTTTGTGTACAGACATTCGACAAGCAGTGACAGTGAGACAACCAAAAACGATTTTGAAGTAGATCATAATATGTTTTGTCTGTCAGACACGGACGAGAATACAATTTTCACTTAGATAAAGCCTTCACGCATCTTCCTTCCTCTACATGTTCAGGGAAGAGTAATACATTCATTTATCTTTCTTTTCTTTTCGTTCTTAAATGAGAGTGCAAAGCGTCTCTTTAAGTGGGGAAAAGGGTACGATAAATTAATTAGAAAACAATTTCTTCTTGAAATATGTAATGATAAGTGAATCGAATTCCACTATAAGCTGTAGGTTCCGCTCTTTCTAACCCCGCACAAGTTTCGACTTTTGGGGAGTTGGTTCCCAACTTTAGCGATATAAAAATTTTACAAAAAAAAAGATTGTAGGACCTCGCTGGACGCCGATGGCAAGTTGGTATGTATAAAAAAGCGTACAAGTGTTAGAGAGAGAAATGAACGTCATCATATTGGCGTAAAACGGGCTATCGGGAATGATTGCTTACCAAATGTTGACAGTTGTTTTGGTTGTCAAAAATACAAAGTATTGGCTGAGCCAGTTTTACACAACTAGAACTAGAATGACGTTAACCCCTCTTTTCAGTCTCTTTAATACTTGTACGATTTTTATTGATTACAACTGTACATATATACCAACGAAGTACATAATTATACAATATTTGTTTCTACTACTGCTATGAAAAGTAGCGCATTTCTCATAGCTCACCTAGTTTCAAAATCATGTATTGCTCATACTGTGAGAAATATTTTTTCTCACGGCACTTTGCCAACACCACATACATTTCCATGTAGATTCAACAAAAATCGACTAAAACGACCAGTTGGCTGCTGTTCAGCTTTGAATAGTTGTCACAACTGTCAGAAGAGGTTTTTTAAATTCTTTAGGGTAGTTATCATTAGTGCTTTCGATAGAAATCGCAGTTTCCATCAAATATTATTCCAACAATTCATAATAAATAATATGATGTATATACCGAGATGTGACGATTTTGATAAATACACCGCCAGAGGCATGGGTAATGGAAAAAGCTGCGAAAGTTGGATTACTTGGATTCTTTGGATAAGTGCAGTTTTAGAAAAAGTATAGTGTGTATATATATGGTTGTAAATAATAGTATATTTCATTACGAGTCTTGAATTAGGGATTTTTCCGTGCGCGTGACAAAAAATTCTCGTGACAGGCAAAGCCAAACACGGAAAGTCATGCAAGCACCGAAAAATCATTTCTGGAAGAGTAATGAACGATATTTTTAATTACACTTCGATGAAAATGAAAATATACTAATAAAATATTACATAAAAAAGACACAAAAGAAACTTGGACCATTTTTATTTTCACAGTAGTTGTAGGAATGAAAAAACTTGGAACTACTACCTGGATTTTACTAGTAATAAATTCGGGTTCGCTTGTGCCGCTTGCCCTAGGATATTATCGGGAATTTCGGGATTTTCTTCAGAGTTCATTTTGTCGGCATAAATTTGATTGACAGAGAATGAACAATGCTGACGATACAGTGTTTGGCATGTATGATTCGTTTCCATGGTTATTCTCAAAGTTTTTCCGTGCGCTGTTTCCATGCGATAACTCGAAAAAGCCTATCTTAATATTACTAATATAGATGAAAACAAGTTGATTTCAAAGAAGTGTGATAAAAATACACTTTTCTCATTGAATCAATATAAAATTATCCTACGTCAAACAAACCCTGGGTACCAAATTTCCTGCTAATAACTCGTGTTTTGCCAAAAGTTATTTTTAAAAAGCGAACGAAAAAATTCAATTCCGATTCCCCATATCTCCGTATACAAGTTCATATAGAATTTTTTCCTTTAAATTGTCTCAGAATTGCGTTACTTGAATATTTCAACGTACTTATGTTACATCCTCCTGTATCCCAGATGGAACATTTTCGCTTACACAAGAGTGGTAGAGGTAATAAAGTAGGAAACCATTTTATGGTTGTTCAGCATCTTTTGGCACCCTAGAAGTTTTCATAATCCTCTATAAGTTGTAGAGATTCCGCACTTCTCAACTACGCACAAGATAAGAGTTCAGAGAATTGGGATTTCAACTTCCACGGGAGCATTCCATCTCCTGAATCAGTTCCTAAAAGTGACTATGTTTCACAAAATTTCCATTATGTTCACAGTTGGAAAAAGCGCAAACTTTTCCCAATTTCCTCAATTCGACTGTATACTACCAGTTCCAGATTTTTCCATAAATTTATTTGTGGTTATGTCTGACTTCCAGTGCTTGTCATAGTGTCCGTTCTATAAATGTACAAAAACGTCAAAACAGCAGTGTCAGAAACATTAAGGAACTCTTGTTTTCAATTATGATATTGATGTTACTCTTCACCAAATTATGTTTTTAATACTTTGACAGTGATAAGTAGAAAGCTTTAAACATTTTTTTTTGTTGCTCTGTAGATATCCTTTTTCTATTGGCCGAAAAAATTACTGATTTTTGTATAGTTTTTAGGTGCTATCTTGAGATTTCATATATTATGCTCTCTAGCATAGCTTTTGCCATATAAATATACTGGTTGAAAATTATGGCATGATTTCATGACAACATTACTTTGTGAATCTGTCATCATTATGCAGGTTGAGAAATTTCCGATTTGTAATTTCAAGTAGTATATATATATATAGTATAACGTGTGAAACTTGATTTTGGGGATGATATTGATCGAAAGCATTAAGTTATATATACAGGGTGTTATTATGTATCTAGCCAAACTAGAAGAGGTGATTGAAAAGGAATATTCCCTGATATAATATGAATATAAAAAAGGGATTTCTTACCCGATTCTGAGACATAAGACCGGAAAGCATAGTTTTTAAGTTACACAATGTCAAACTTTGTCAAAAAAATGTGTTTTTTGTAAATCTGGATATGACCATTCCTGCTTCTTACTACTACAAATAACACTGTATTTCAACAGAATTGGTTGAATGATTTCACGAATAACCGATTTGATACTGTAATTGAAACTTATGGATTTCTGGAGCTATGTTCATATAAACTTTTCATCTTCAAACGACTCGAAAAATCGCCCCATGAAGTTTGGATGCATACATAAGTGACACTCAAACATCAATAGATCATAAGCTAGATAGAAAATGGTGAAAAGTGGAAACTGTCAAGGGATATTTGAAAAATATGCTCTATTTGTGAAAACACCCTTCAATCATAGTCAATCAATGATATTCCATAACGTGATGAGAGTACATGCTGGCTGAAAAATAACTTCAATCTCTTAGATATCAAAGCTAAGAAGTTTAACTTCAAAATCATCAGAATTTGTTATTCACCGGGAAGTTGTAAATGAAAAGTAGTATTCAATCAAGTCTCAAAATATTTTTAAAACAAGCAACGAAATAAAAATATCAACTTTCTAAGTCTTCCAACGGAAATAATCAGACATACAAAAAGAGGGGGGACCTAACATTTCATTCATGAAACATTGTTTTTCTACAAACGTCAAAAAATGACAAGATTCGAGCATTGATAACAAATTGCGAAGTGACACTTTTTTTCAGTTTCCTACGTTACCATACCTTGCACAAAACAATGCGCACTGTAAGTAAACTATATGGGATTTTTTTTATTTCAACCTTCACAGTCCTCATAATTTATCACTTCAAATTGTGACGAAATTCAACACTAAACCTAATTTCATTTATTATTTACGATGTTGACATTAATGGTGCAGCCAGTACATACATGAACCAATATTAAGTCCAAAACCAGATAATTCTGATTCAGCTCGTGATGTCGAAGTTTAAGGGGTTAGAAAACTATCCATTTTCGACTCGAAGGCAACTGCCGTAGAGGTGATAGCACTACTTGATCCTTTTATCACAAGCCAAAATTTTATTTGATTTTTGGATTTTATTATTAATTGAATCTTCCACGTATCCTTCGGACACAGTCGAAGATTTTTTCCATCCTCCATGTCGCTTCAAAACAGATATATCCCCCCCCCCCCATTAGCAAAGAATGTAGCTGAAGTTCTCCGAAAACAATGACCAGTGTTGGCATCATAATTTGGTAATTCTAGCCGTTTTGCTATCAAGCTGGGTATCTTTCCACTTATATTCATCCCAACAACTTTGTTGAAACATCTCTTATTTTTGTACTTACTTCAAAATCAATCGGCGACAGGTAGCACAACTTGGACGGAGAGCAGCTTATTTGCGGCCAATCTCAATACAATCTAAATTTGAAACTGTAAAAATTCGTTGTATGTTCGTTTTTGTATCGGGTACTTTGACAATCAAAATGGAATTTCTATCTTCTATGCCATCGACCGTCATTTTAGTGAGTTCCTCATGGCGGCAAGCACCAGAAATACCCAGTATTAAAACGACCTGAAAATAAATCAATGAAAATATAGAGTAATTTGAAAAACACATGAAACAATTATTGAAAATCTACCTTGACCATCAAATAGGTTTCATCATCTGCATCTCTTATGAAATTATCAACTTCCTCTCGAATTAATACCTTAGATTTCTTAGGATGGTTTCCAACTGACAATTTTTTTAAATATGGAACCAACTTGGTAAATTTCTTAACATCTACGTTTTCTTCAACATTAAGTGTTGCTTTCAACATAGAATATATTGCCCATAACGTAGAAGACTTCAACTTCTTAGACCTCCCTGCAAAATATGCCAAGAGCACATTTTCGGATATATTTCTTGCTTCATTTACTTCACGCCACTCTTTGAATTGCTGATATGCAGTTTCATACTGGCGCCTCGATTTTTCTCCGGTAAAAGATTTGAAATTACTGAATCAGCGGCATCTATCAAGTTAGGTGGAGTACTGCTTAGTTCATCGTCACTCGAAATTTCCATTATTGTACAGTTAAAAATGCCAGGCACTAGAAAACAGACGCGAACGAACAGAAAAAAGTCACTTTGAAATAATGGTCAACAACTGTCACTTTGAAATAATTGTCAACAAATGCCATTTTATTTCCATTGTTACAGGAATTACTTGATCTGGAAAACTATTTCAAGCCAGTTCAACACTATTTTTATATATTAAGCTGAGCATATTACTTATTTCTGAACAATGTTTTTCGACGTTTGTAGAAAAAACTCGAGCGCGAAATGCTACTTTGGTGATCGAAACAGTCTAAATACAAAAATAACTATTGTTTACAATCAAACATACTTCCAAAGCTAGGAAGAATGTGGCTTTAGAAAATGACGTCAATGTTCACACTTTTCTTTACCAGTCGCGTAGTTTGTGCGAGGGACAATAGCAAGAAAACACTGAGAATCATTGAAACACAAAACGTCCTAGAATGGTAACAAACATAGCACAACACTGTTATGTTGGCTTTTGATGTACATGAATGACTTTAAGGAGTCCCTTGTAGTAATCACGCCAATACATCGTACAGTTATTTCCATATTACATTATGATTTTATGTAATGAAATTAGGAAAATTATTTTAATAGCAGAATTCACAGTCATTATTCAATTGAGGAATAAACATATAGAATAAATATACACGAAAAATTTATAATATATAATTAATGTATGATTAATGCTTCCCTCGTATTCAAACACAGGCGGTAGTTCTGGGGCAATCCGCAGAAATTTGTCATCATCGTTTTTTTACTGAAAACGATGTTGGATCAGGACAAAATGTGAATAATTTCGTCTTCTCAGAGAAATTACCAAATTTCCAAATGAAAACTATAAGTGAGTGACTATATAGCAGGTACTTACTTTTAAATCATAATGTACCAACCGGATTCCTTCGTCTCTCGCTGCATTTTTTGTGTATTGTACAACAGCACAATGACAAGGCATGCTTGAATCAATGAATAGCGCAAAAATCATGATTCGTTTGCCAAAATATTGTGAAAAACTATTTCATTCCTTTGATTCCTCTGAAAACAAATAGAAAAAGTGAGGTTGTGTTTCAATATCCAGGCTCGGTCATCGTGCACTGCTCGGTATAGGGTTGACAGAACAGAATCAGTCCCTCCGAAACCTTTCACCTTTATTAACACTCAACACATTAGGTTTGTTCGCGTTCGAAAAATAACAGTCCAAAACCATCAGAAG